GTCCTCTTAAGGAATTAGAAGACTGTTTAGTATATATACTAGATACCAGTTCTGTATCAGATACATGTATTGCAAATATTTTCTTTTTGTAGCTTGCTATCCATTTTTTTTCTATAATGGTTCATGCTTCCATACCTTGAGAAACCTACTCAAGGTTACAAAGTTATTCCTTATGTTTTCTTCTAACAGTTTTATGGTTTCAGCTTTTATGATCCATTTCAAGATAAATATTTGATATTAGTATGAAGAAAGATAGAAATTTTGTTAGGTTTTTAAATTTTTTTTGTGTTTTTTATTTATTTCTGAGGGAGAGAGAAAGAGAGAGAGTATGAACAGGGGAGGATCAGAGAGAGAGGGAAATATAGAATCTGAAACAGGCTCCAGGCTTTGAGCTAGCTGTCAGCACAGAGCCCGATACGGGGATCAAACCCACGAACCGTGAGATCGTGACCGAAGCCTAAGTCAACGCTTAACCAACTGAGCCCCCCAGGTGCCCCATGGTTTTTAAAAAATTGATAGTACGGGGTAAGATGGAGATTTTTATTGTTTTTCGTATCTGGGTACCCATTATTCCAGGACAATTTGTTGAAAAAAAACAATTATTTTTCCACCTTTGTAAAAAAAATCAGTCGTGGATTTATTTCTGGACTCTATTCTTTTATATTGATTTCTATTCCTATCCTTTAGCTAATTCCATATACATTGATTATAGCTTTATCCTAAGTCTTGAAATCAGACAGTAAGTCCTCCAACTGTGCTTTTTCAAATGTATTGGACTATTCCAAGACCTTTGGATTTCTATCTAAATTTCAGAATTAGCTTATCAGTTTCTCCAAAAGTCTTATGGGGTTTACATAGGAATTCTATTAAACCTATAGATCAATTAGAAATATTTTAGTCTTGTATTCCCTGAGTATGAAATACTTCTGCATTCGTTTAGTTTTTCTTTACTTACTCTCAGAATATTTTGCACTTTTCATTGTGGGGCTAATTCATGCATATATATTGTCAAATTTTTCCAAAATATTTCATGGTTTTTTTTTAATTGATCGTAAATAGAATTTTTAAAATTTCAGTTTCTAAAGTAAGAGTTTAATATTTTGAAGTATTGCAACTTGTTTTTTGGAATAGCATGTGGTTTATCTTGGTATACATTCTAGATGCACTAAGGAATATATATTCTGGAAGTAGCGCTATCAACAATAGCCAAATTATGGGAAGAGCCCAAATGTCTGTCAACTGATGAATGGATTAAGAAGATGTGGTATATATAAAGAATGTAATACTACTCAGTGACAAAAATGAATGAAATCTTGCCATTTGCAACAATGTGGATGGAACTGGAGGATATTATGCTAAGCGTAATAAGTCAGAGAAAGACAGATATATGATTTCACTCATGTGGAATTTGAGAAACTCAAGGGATGAATATAGGGAAGGGAAAGGAAAATACAATAAAAACAGAGAGGGAAGCAAACCATAAGAGAGTCCACATACATAGAACAACCTGAGGGTTGATGGGAGTGGTGTAATTGGTGATGGGCATTAAGAAGGGCACTTGTTGGGATGAGCACTGGGTGTTATATGTAATGATGAATCACTCAATTCTACTCCTAAAGCCAAGACTACACTGTATGTTAACTAACTTGAGAATAAAAAAGAAAAAAGAAACAAGAATGTATCTTCTGGAACTGTATATTATCTGATTCAAACTGGTTGATAAGGTTCAGATTTTCTATTTTCTAAATGATTTTTCTCATTAGTTATTCTACCAGTTACCAAAAAATATGTGATAATATCTCCAAATATCTCTGTCTTTGCGTAGTTCTGTAAGTTTTGCTTTAAACAGTTGTATTTTTTTAAGAAATTCAAAAAAACTAATTTATCCACATACACACACATATCTATGCATATAAGTGCATATATACATGATCACAGGGTGTTATAATTTCTTACATATTTGTCATTATTTATATTCTTTATTCCTTCCCATAAATGCAGTTTACCATGTTCTATATTTTCCTTCAGCTTTTAGGTCCTGTAGTAAAGTCTGCTGTCCTATCTGAAAATAGTATTTCACTCAATTGTTGAATATGTTTTACACATTTATAATTTTTTATTAATTTGTTTCTCTTTCAACTCTTGTAATATATAATTATCATATCCTCTAAGTCTTTGTTGTTTCAGATGAAAAATCACCTGATTTTTATCATTGTGCCTCTTAATGATATGTCATTTTTCCCTGCTGCTTCCAAGATTTAACAATGATGTACTTAGATTTGGGAGTTTTTTTGCATTTATCCTAGTAGAGGCTTCTTATACTTATTAGATCTGTAACTGAATATTTGATCAAATAGGACATTTAAATACTGTTTTTGTTTCTTATTTTCTCCCAATGACTAGGACTCCCATTAAGCATGTTTTGGACTGCTTTGTATTGTTCCACATCTCTGAGGTTCTGTTCAATTTTCTTAATTTTTTCCCCTGCCCAGATTTCATCATTTTTGTTGATCTCCCTTCAGATGTACTGATTGTTTTTTTCTTTCATCTCCAGTACTCATGAGATCACAAATAAGTTTTTCCTATAAGGAATGATAATATTTAGCTCTAAATTTTCTGTCATTCTTTAGTATAGTTTCTCATCCCCTGGTGGTATTCCCTTTCTGTTCACTTATAGATATATTTTCCTTTAATACTTTAAATGTATTTTACTTTGAGTCAGTTTCTGTAGGTTGTGTTTACCTTAGTATGGATCACTCAGTAATTTTTGTTTGAAATCTTCACACTGTAAAAAAAAAATGCATTTTAATGATTCTGAATTCTGTTTTCCTGAGGATTTCAGGTTTTTGTTTTAATAGACATTTAACTTGCCTGATCTTAAATTAACTCTCATTTCATTTTTTTAAAAATGTTTTATTTATTTCTAAGAGAGAGAGAGAGAGACAGCATGAGCAGGGGAGGGTCAGAGAGAGAGGAAGACACAGAATCTGAAGCAGGCTCCAGGCTCTAAACGGTCAACACAGACCCCGATGCGGGGCTCGAACCCACGAACTGTGAGATCGTGACCTGAGCTGAAGTCAGACGCTTAACCGACTGAGCCACCCAGTCGTCCCTTAACTCTCATTTCAATGTATTGTGCAACAGATAGCATCTCTGCTCAATTCTCCAGATTTTAGGTTTTGCTTTTTTAACCTGGTCGCACAGCATTGTCTCTTACAATCAGAACTTAGAAGAGAACCAAATATTTGTACAGAATTTGGGGGCTCACACTTTCTGTGGTTCTCAGCCCCGAGTTTTGTCCTCTGCTACCTCAAGACACTAAAACTTCAACTTTCTTTAGTACAAGATTCTGCTCTCAGGTAGGGAAATAAACGCCTTCAGAGGAGCATTAAATTTGTAAATCTCACATGATTTAGTTGTCTTTCAAGTTTATCCTGTTCTCTCTTTCCTACTTAACTGTTTCTTTCTCCTACTCATGTATAGATCATGGATCGCTTAGTGGTCAGCCAGGGATTTGGGCACATTTGATAAACTTTGTGGAGCTCTCTTACTTCAAGAATTTTTCCCTAAAACTTTCAGCTGTTTTCTGAACTCGACCTTCTGCTGTCTCAAGCTGAAAAGAATATGATTTCAACCTGCCAGAGCTAAGGGAGGTTAAGAATACTTTTAAGCAAAAAAGCCAGATATTAGAAATTCTTACATGTCATGATCACAGTCTTTAAAAAGGAAACTGCTGTGGTTTCTGTCTGTTTTTCATTGCTTTCCAATGCCTTCAAATATTTATTTTTTGATGATATTTCATTCAGATTTTATAATTATAGCTACAAGAGGCTTTGCACAGTGTTAACATTAGCACAAATTCAAACTTTCTTAGGGATATTTTTAAGATATGGTTTTTACAGATATTAACAATGCCTGACATATTATAGAAATTCAATTAATATTTGTTAAATAAATTAATAATGGCTTCTCTTTTTTTAGATAATACAATAAATTTACCTTTGTCTCTTGTTTTGTGTTGTCTTCAAAGTGTTAAAGGAAAGAAGGCTGATATAAAAGTGTAGGCATGTAGCTTATCAGTAATATTAAGAAATGAAGATATACTCAAGGTGTTTATATTATCTCACAAAATCTCAAAGATATTAACACATTTTTGTCAAAGAAACCTGACACATCATTTTTCATAAAAATTCAGAAAGAAGGGAGGATGAAGGAATAATAAAAGGTAAAAGGACTGTTTACTAGGAAATCATTTAGTATAAATTCTCAAATTAAAATCTTCAATTTTAAATTGCTATTGGATATAAAGCCTAAAACACAAATTTAGAAGTAATACTATTTTTACAAATTTTATAAATATTAATTTTCAGGCTACATACACTAAGTGCTTAATTGTTGTGACATGTAAGAAATGAAGTGTGGGTTTACAAACTGATTGGTAGGTAAGAATAGCCATTTTAATGTTTCTTTACTTTTGAGCGAGAGAGCACAAGCAAGGGAGGGCCAGAGAGAGAAAAAGAGACACCGAATCTGAAGCAGCCTCCAGGCTCTGAGCTGTCAGTGCAGAGCCAACATGGGGCTCGAACTCACAAACTGAGATCATGACCTGAGCCAGAGTTGGCTGCTTAACTTAACTGACTGAGCCACCCAGGCACCCGAAGAATAGCCGTTTTAGAGGTACAATGCCCCAAAAAAAATCTTAGTAAGGAAAAAAATATCTGTGATTTCCTTGCTATACTCATACATAACCCTCTAAATTTTGTGGATATCAGAGGTGGTGCAGTAGATTGAGAAAAATTTTGGAACCAGACTATATTAAAAGGACTCACTTCCCACTGACTACCTAAATAAAGAAGTCTCTTAGCCTGTCTAACTGTACTTCAGGAAGAAGGTTATTATCCCATCTCATACACTTGTTTTAAGGCGAAAAGTTACAAAAACGTCTGAGTGTGCTTGGTATCTGATAGGATTCTGACTATAATTTTTTTTCTTTTTTACAGAAGAGGATAAATATAATATTTATTCTTCTTTGCTCTTCAAGTATTTCCTGGCAGAAGGAATCGTCAATGGGCATACTTTGTTGGTTGCATCAGCAAAAGAAGATCCTGCTGATATTTTACAGGTATAGGAAATACTAATTCAATATTTCATTTTGAACATTTCATGCGAAAATATTGCTTATATGTATGTAAACAAAATATGTTTGTATACATAAAAACTATTTAAATGCATTAATGGGAACATACATATACTTTATTCTCTTAAAATTTATTTGAACATGTTTCATTTTTAAATTAGTGTTCTCAGACAATTTTTTAACTTGATATTGGCAGTGCGGAAAATATTAGTAAGCTACTAAAAACTGAAATACATAAAATTATTACTATATTATAGTCATGAAGATAAGAGAACTCTGTAAAAAGTTAAGTAAAGAAAAACAACAGCAGAATATTATCTGATATTAAATACCAGTGTCCTAAGGAGGTAAATCAAAAGAAACATACAAAAATTAGAAGTACTCATTTATTAATATTATTTTGCTTTGAAAATACAAGAAATTAATCTTTTCTAAGAAACAAGCAACAAAATAAAATATGTGGTCAGTGTACTGTATCTTTTTAAAGCCAAAGCACACTTTAAAACTCAAAGAGGACAATTCTGACTTTTAGAATTCTTAATTTTTTTGTTCAGAACAGGAACCCAACTTAAGCCATTATTTGAATAGAAGTCATTATTTGAAATAGAATCTAAAGTTTTTTCCTCCCATAGGATGGTTTCATTTCAATGAACTGAAATGAAATGAAAATTTATACCCACTATAAAAAGTTATATAATGCTTAAGTAAAACTAACATGATTCTTTCATATGGGTCAGACTTTGCTTAATAAATAATACTGTCAGAAAATCCAAAGGGGAAACCTTTGTATAATTTCTGAAATGATTTTCTTCTGGTTGCAAAGACTGTTTTCCTTCATTCTTACTTTTGGTGTTTGACGTTTATAATATTTTCTCAATGTTTTTGTTTCTCCTTTTGTTCCTTTTCCCTGGTCTTAATCATCTTGATCAGCTTCTGGACAGTACTGTGCTTGCTAGGAACAGTGGAGTAAAGGCCAACCAAGATTATTGTCCCAAAGAAGTTAGACAAGTGCTTCATGGCACATTCCCCAAAAATATTGAGACTAAGATTTTACTTCAAACATCCTTATAGCCATATAGGCAGTTTTTGTCATGCCAAGAAGCAGGAAAATCCTTAACCCTTGAACAACGTGGTGTTAGAGACACTGATCCCCTGCATGGTTAAAAATCCACATGTAACTTTTCACTACCCCCAAACTTATCTACTAGTAGCCTACTGACCAAAAGGCCTAACCAATAATATAAACCGTTAAATCATACATATTTTTTGTATTATATGTATGTATCGTATACTGTATTCTTACAATGGAGAAAAGACAATGTTATTAAGCAAAACCTTAAGAAAGAGAAAATACATTTATAATACTATATTTACTGGAAAAATGCACATAGAAGCAGACTGTGCTGTTCAAACCTGTGTTTTTAAGAATGAACTGTATATACTTTTCAAAGTAAAGCATTTTATTTTTTCTCTTGCTTCCTATAACCTCGGCAACTAATATTAAAACCTAGTAGATATACTAACATATTTTGCTTATAGAGAACTATGCTTTTTATTTGAAAACTAATCCTTAACACCTTTCCTAGGTACCTTGAATTTGTACGAGTTAATATTAAAAATCTCAGGGTACTTTACATGTCCTTCTTTGGATTATGTGAAGGATTTAAAAATTATAAAATAAATACTAGCTTTCATCAGGATTTCTTAAAATATCTAATCTTTTATGTAAGTAGTTAGATTCTACAAACATTTATCCACAAGACATTTATTCACAGAGGAATTTTATGATATAGAAAAATATAAAATCAGAGTTAAAAGACATAGATTTGAAAAAGTTGCACTTTTGACCAAGGTATGTTAATAAAGATCAGATTTCTCTTTATTCCTGAAACAAATAAAAAACATGTGAAAATGTGTTAAACAACAATTTCCAAGACATTGAGCATCACATAATAAAGGACGGTGATTCCGGAGACATCAAAAGATACAAAGGAAGCCCTATAACTTCCCTGGCATTACTGTATGCAAAGTTTCCAGGCGCACCCGCGTGAATGTACACACACACACACACACACACACACACACACACCCCACCTCTTCTTTATCCATTCATCAGTTGATGGATACTTGGACTGTTTTCATAGTTGGGCTATGTGATAATGCTGCTATAAACATCAGGGTGCATGTATCTCTTTGAATTAGTATTTTTATGTTCTTTGGGTAAACACCTAGTGGTGCAATGGGTTAATTCTATTTTTAACTTTCTCTTTACGTTTTTTTTAAATTTTATTTTTAGAGAGTGAGAGAGTGTGCGGGGGAGAGAGAGAGAAAGGGAGAAAAGAGAATTCTGAACAGACTCCACCCTATCAGCATGGAGCACAGTGCAGGGCTTGAACCTATGAACTGTGAGATCATGACCTGAGCCAAAACCAAGACAAAGATGCTCAACCAACTGAGCCACACAGGTGCCCTTATTTTTAACTTTATAAGGAACCTCCATACTGTTCTCCAGAGTGGCTGTACCAGTTTGCATTCCCACCAACAGTGCAAAACTGTTCCCTTTTCTCCACATCCTTCCTAGCACCTATTGTTTACTGTGTTGTTGATTTTAGCCATTCTGACAGATAGAAGGTAATATCTCATTGTAGTTTTGATTTTGATTTCCCTGTTCATCAGTGTTGTTAAGTATCTTTTCATGTGTCTATTGGCCATCTGTAGGTCTTTCTTGGAAAAATGTCTATTCATGTTTTCTACCATTCTTAAATGGGATTGTTCTTTTTGGAGGGGTTGAGTTTTACAAATTCTTTATAGATTTTAGATACTAACCCTTTATCCGATATGTAATTTGCAAATATCTTTTCCCATTCCACCGGCTGCCTTTTTAGTTTTGTTGATTGTTTCCTTTGCTGTGCAGAAGGTTTTTTTGTTTTTTTTTTTTTTTTGGTTTGTTTGTTTTGAGAAGTCCCAATAGTTTATTTTTACTTTTGTTTCCCTTGCCTCAGGAGACCTATCTAATAAGAAATTGTACAGCCAATGTCAAAGAGGTTACTGTCTGTGTTCTCTTCTAGGACTTTTATTCTTTCAGGTCTCACCTTTAGGTCTTTCATCCATATTGAATTCATTTTTGTGTTTGCTGTCAGAAAGTGGTCTAGTTTCATTCTTTTGCATGTTATTATCTAGTTTTCCCAACACCATTTGTTGGAGACTGTCTTTTTTCCATTGGATATTCTTTCCTGCTTTGTTGAAGATCAATTTACCATGTAATTGTGGGTCTATTTCTGGGTTTTCTGGTCTGTTCTATTGAGCTATGTGTCTGTTTCTCTGCCAGAACTATACTGTTTTGATCTCTAGAGCTTTGTAATATAATTTGAATTCTGGAATGATGATGTCTCCAGCTTTGCTTTGCTTTTCAGGTTGCTTTAGCTACTTGGGGTCTTTTGTGGTTCCATACAAATTTTAGGATCATTTGTTCTGGCTCTGTGAAAAATACTGTTGGTGTTTTGACAGGGATTGTATTAAATGTTGTAGATTGCTTTGAATAGTATAGACATTTCAACAGTATTTATTCTCCAGTCTACGAGTATGGAATGTCTTTCCATTTCTTTGTGTCATCTTCAATTTCCTTCATCAGTATTTTATAGTTTTCAGATAACAGGTCTTTTACCTCTTTGGTTAGGTTTATTGCTAGGTATCTTATTGGTTTTGGTGCAATTGTAAATGACGTTGATTTAATTTCTCTTTCTGCTGCTTCATTATTGCTATATCAAAATGCAAGAAATTTCTGTATGTTGATCTGGTTTCGTACTGAATTTGTGTGTCAGCTCTAGCAGTTTTTGGTGGGGTCTTTTGGGTTTTCTGTATAGAGTATCATGTCATATGCAAATAGTGACAACTTGTTTTCTTCCTTGCCAGTTTGAATGCCTTTTCTTTCTTTCTTTCTTTCTTTCTTTCTTTCTTTCTTTCTTTCTTTCTTTCTTTCTTTCTTTCTTTCTTTTTCTGATACTTTATTTTTGAGAGAGAGAGAGAGGGAGAAGGGATGGACAAAGAGAGAAGGAGACACAGAATCTGAAGCAGGCTCCAGTCTCTGAGCTGTCAGTACAAAGCCCAATGCAGGGCTCGAACATGATCATGAACTGTGAGATCATGACCTGAGCCAAAGTCAGACACTTAACCGATGGAGCCTCCCAGGTGCCCCTGGATGCCTTCTATTTCTTTTTGTTGTCTGATTGCTGTGGCTAGAACTTCCAGTACCATGGTAAAAGTAGACATCCCTGTCTTGTTCCTGACTGGGAGTTTTCCCCATTGAGGATGATATTATCTATGGGTTTTTCATATATGGCCTCTATTATCTTGTGGTATGTTCCCTCTAAACCTACTCTGCTGAGGGGTTTTATCATGAATGGAATTTGTACTTTGTCAACTGCTTTTTCTGCATCTATTGAAAGAATCATATGATTCTTCTGTTTGTTTGTTTGTTTGTTTTAAAGGTTATTTATTTTGAGAGACAAAGAGAGGGCAAATGCGAGCAGGGGAGAGGCAGAGAGAGAGGGAGAGAGAATCCCAAGCAGGATCCACACCATTAGTGTGGAGCCCAATGTAGGGCTCGAACTCACATACTGTGAGATCATGACCTGAGCTGAAATTAAGACTCAGACATTTAACTGACTGAGCCACCCAGGCACACCCTGATCATATGCTTCTTATCCTTACTTTCATTAATGTGCTCTATCATGTTGATTGGTTTGCAAATATTAAAAAACATTACAACACAGGAATAAATCCCACTTGATTGTGGTGAGTGATTTTTTTTTAATGTATTGTTGGATTTAATGTAATTTGTGAGTATTTTATTGGAATTTTTGCTTCCATGTTTATCAGGTATATTGACTTGTAGATCTCTTTTCTGGTAGAGTCTTTATATGGTTTTGGTATCAGGTTACCGCTGGCCTCATGGAATGAATTCATAAGGTTTCCTCCCTGTTCTC